ATTCTTCCAACATCCAGCCTGAAACAAAATATAAGACCACATTTCTACAAAAAATAAATGTTCTCCAATGCTGCCAAATAGTTCAACAGCCAAGACTCTCTATCAGGCGGTTGCCACTGTAACTGTGTACTATGTGTGTGCTGCTTTTGCAAATGATACCTTACAATGGCTTACATTGAGTACAGGTATTGCCATGATGCACCTGACAAAGTAGCTTGAGTCCATCTAATTTCATGTCGCCAAAAATAGCTTTTCAATGAAATCTGGGAAGTTCCACTCTTAAGTGATACACAGTAAACACTGACAATCAGCATACTGGGTTAAGGTGGGATCTTCTGCTCTAGGATACACTTGTAGCAAGGCATGGAAGAAAAGCAGAGCACAGAAATAATTGTGTCAGAAGCTGTGACTAGGTGGAGATACAACTAAATGCAATGCTTTGCTTCTGCAATACTCAATTTCAGACTGTTTCAGAGAAGATTTTACAGTATCACAGTGACACTACTTGAGGGAACTAATCTTCTTGTTAGGATTCCCAAATCCATTTAGGTCTTTAAGAAATTAGTGTAATCTCTCCAGCTTCTTATAAAGGTTCTTTGTGGGCTCTATATACCTTGCTCTGGTATACACTTAGGCTACATCTACACTGCAGGCTTCTTGAGCAAGAACTGTTTTGCGCAAGAGTTCTTGTGCAAAAGGTCTTCCACAAGAGTGTGTCCACACTGGCATGTGCTTTTGTGGAAGAGATGTGCTTTTGTGCAAGAGTGTCCATGGCAGCATGGACGCTCTCTTGTGTAAGAAAGCTCTGATGGCCATTTTAGCCATAGGGATTTCTTGTGCAAGATAATCATGTTGTCTGTCTACACTGCCTTCTTGTGGAAGAGCTCTTGCATAAAAGGGCTTATTCCTCGTGGGGAGAGGAATAAGTCTTCTGGAAGAAGCCCTGTTTTCTGATGCTGTACTGTAAATTTACTTGTGCAAGAACGCACATGCAGTGTAGATACCCAGCAAGTTTGTGCAGAAGAACAGCTGTTCTTGCGCAAAAAGCCTGCAGTGTAGACGTAGCCCTAGGGTATGTATACACAGCAAAGTTATTTCTAAATAACAGCTATTCGAAATAGCGGAGGGCTTATTTTGAAATTGGTAAACCTTATTCCATGAGGAATAGCGCCAATTTCGAAATTGCTATTTCGAAATAAGCGCTGTGTATACGCTTATTTCAAAATAGAGGGCATCCAGCCCTTCCCAGGGTGCCCTTCTGGCCACTCTGGTGACAACCAAAAAAAATTACTCTCCCTCTCCGGGGCATCCAGCCCTTCCCAGGGTGCCCTTCTGGCCACTCTGGTCACAACCAAAAAAAACTACTCTCCCCCCCCCAACCCCAGAGCCCTTAAAGGTGTAGAGTCAGGCCACAGTGCCTGTGACACCTCCAAGCCTGCCAGCCCAACAGTCTGTCCTGCCCCTGACCCAGTGGCCCCACAACATGAGCCAGCAAGCCACCAGCAGCCAGCCCTCCACCACTTCCCAGGAGCAGTCTGCCAGCTCCCAGGAGCCTGCCAGGGGCCGGAAAAGGTGGGCGCCTTCCTGCTCCAGTGTGCAGATCATGAACCTCACTGAGGTTTGGGGGGAATCCTCCAATGTCCATGATCTCCACACTAGACAGAGGAATGTGGCTGTCTATGGCAGGATAGCTGCCAACATGGCCAGCAAAGGCCACATCCACACCCAGGAGCAGGTGCAAATGAAAATAAAAGAGCTTCGGCAGGCATATGCCAGGGCCACAGGGGGAAGTTCCCAACTAGGGGCACACACACCAAGCTGCCCCTATTTCAATGCCCCCCAGGTGGTTGTCAACTCTGGGGCAGAGGGCCCTGACCAGGACATTGAGGAGGAGGAGGAAGAGAGCCAGGAGCTGCAGCAGACCAGACGGAGCGTGCTGAGCAGCCAGGACCCCCAAGCTGCTCCAGCAGACCTGTTGCCGGTGTCATCTGAGGCCAGGGAGACAACAACAGGTGAGTGCCATCACTGTCCCCTTATGCAGGGGGAGGGAGTGAGGGGGAAGGAGAGGGGAACAGAAATCAGGGACTGCGCGTGTGGGCCTTGCTGTCCACGGACATGTGCATGTGCTGTCATCTGAGGCCAGGGAGACAACAACAGGTGAGTGCCATCACTGTCCCCTTATGCAGGGGGAGGGAGTGAGGGGGAAGGAGAGGGGAACAGAAATCAGGGACTGCGCGTGTGGGCCTTGCTGTCCACGGACATGTGCATGTGCGAGTATGTGCCATGCCACCCCTGGGCATGTGGCCCCGCTGGCTGCCATACAGGGGCCTTACCCTGTTAGCCACACGCATGTGTGAAGAGGCATGACATTCTCCTGACTCCAGGGTGGGACTCAGCAGGATGCCCTCCCTCCACAAGGCCACTCTACACAGAGGCAGGTGACATCTACCCCCCTCTCCCACACACACATTGGGGATAGCAGGACATTCCGAACATGGCCTCTGTGCAAGCACATCGGCTCTGATGGTGCAGGGAACGATCATCCTCACCTTGAAGAGGGGGGCTGGGCTTCTCCCACTGTGTCCCCAGGGATAACTGTCCATTTCTCTTGTTTCTCCACAGCCGCACCAGCTGCGTGTGCAGGGTGCACCACACCACCTAGACATGCTCCCGCACCCAAGGGCTCCGCAGGACCACCCTGCAGTGGAGGGTTACCAACAGCAGCAGCTGGGGGCACTGCGAGCCCTGCACCGCACCCTCCAGCATTGGATGCAAGAAGACGTGCAGCTCCGGTGGAAGCAGCTTGCCCAAGGCCGTGCCATCTGCCAGCACTTGCAGACCCTGGTGCGGCGCCTGCTGCCTCACCAGCTTCTGCTCCTCCTCCCCATCCTTCTC